CCCCTCTTCCACAGCCGTATCGTAAGTCTGCAGGCAATGGCTTTCCATCTTAAAAACACATCTGCAAGGAAAGACCAAAGGAACGGAGCAAACCTTGAATGGGAGTGCAAGTTCCACGCTTTCTCCCCTCCAATTTGGAAGAAGAATCTTGAAGACGGTTCGGGCTCGTCGCAGTCAATGAAGACGCCACCGGGGCTTGCTAAGCAGGGGGAAACGCAGCCTTCCACCCGGGCTCCCCTTTCCGTGAAGACTACTGCCACCATAGCCTTGTTTCCTGGTTCAAGGCGAGAGTGCTTGTCCCTTTAAGGTTTCGATTCCTGCAAGATGCAAACGATCTTTCGAGTATTTTCAGCCGAAGAAGCTAATTAAGGTGTTCGCAAAGACGCGCCATCTGGCGGATCCTGCAGGCGATGTCCAAAGGAGGGACTGGTGAAAGGGGAGGGTGGATTAAAGGAAGGGAAGCTGCAGATGATGAGCGATGACAGGAGGCGAGAGGTGGGACAGACGTTTCAATCAGAACAGAGCTGGAATGTACCTAGTAGGTCTTCTAGTCCAACCTCCTTATCAAGTTGAAGAACCTATTCCATTTTCAGACAGTCTTTTCTTTAAAACCTCCAGTGATAAACGTCTTCAAAGAAAAACCAGTTGCCTCTTGAAAAAAGCACCTTTGGGACAACCATGACCTGGGTTGACAGAATCTCCAACCTCCAGTGATGAAGCACCTACAACTTCTGAAGGCAACTTCTGAAGATGTTCAAGGCATGCCTTAAGCAGCTTTCCTGGTCCATGGTGGATTTTTGGAGATCATCTCCTGTCCTCCCACATCTCCTTTAAAGAAAACCAGGTCCGGTGGCAGGATAAAAGTTTGATGAGAGCAGCTCTTTTATATGGAAAGCTGATTCTGGACCTGTAAATGTGTCAGAATCCTGTTGTTTTTTCCAATAGTTAAACAAATGGCCCATTGCAATTTTCTATTCTTTTTAAAAAAATATGCTTTTGAGTCAGTATTTTACTTTAAATCAGTTACTTTAGGTGACTGATACATCCCTGCAGTTTTCTTGGCAATGTTTCAGAGGTGGTTTGCCATTCCTGCTTTCCAAGGGCTGAGAGAGAATGAAGAGAAAGTTACCCAGCTGCCTTTCATGTCTTAAGGCAGGACTAGAGCTCACAGTCTTCCGGTTTCTAGCCTGGTGCCTTAACCACTACACTCAACTGGCTCTCCTAATCTGATCTACCATATTTTTCAGAGTATAAGGCGCATCTTTTTCCTCCCTAAAATTGGGTGAAAATTCAGATGTCTCTTTCTTTTTATGATCTTCTAGGGGTAAGAAGACATGGATTTTTGCACATTGCAGTGTTGATTTTTCTACACTGTTGTTGAATTGATTTTCCTTAGGCCTTTTTGGTCCCCATGGATTTTCAAAGAACCTTCCTTTAATTTTATTCTTGACTGTTTGCAATTTTTCAGCTGCTGGCTTATCATCCTCAAATGTCGGTTCATCACCTGCTTGAGATTTTAAAAAAAGGATGAGATGATTTAGGCAAAAAGTGAGGGTGCTAAGAAGGATATTAGTTGCACATTTTATATAAATATTAACACACTTTCCCTTTCTGTTTTCATTTCTTTTGGGCCATATGGAATTTTTCTTGACTTCTGGTACTTTAATGTGCTGTTTAATGTGCTGTTGGAAACTACTGTCACGTGGCTAGGGTAACCTATAGGTTAACATCAAAGTAATTGGTGGACCATGCACAAGATTCATTTTTTTGAAAAATTTCGGCTACAGTTTAAAGTGACTTTAAAATGAAAGCAGTAGCTACATCTATTGGATCAAGTAAGTAGGAGGTTATACCTCCTAGTCATGCTGAGAGGAAATACCAATTGTTAGGAATTCCATCCCTCCTGCGAACATTGTGGGTCTCTCTAGGCTACCAAAACCCATCATTATAGTCAGAGAAACGGGAGTGTTTTTGCCTCCCCCGCCCCAGAAGCACTTTGCAGGCTTCAGCAGGACTAGGAGAAAAAAGCTGCATCTTGGTGAAAAATGGGCAAAAAATGGGCCATTTTTCATNTGGAAGTCTTTAAGAAGATGTTGGATAACCATTTGTCTGAAATGGTATAGGGTTTCCTGCCTAGGCAGGAGGTTGGACTAGAAGACCTCCAAGGTTCCTTCCAACTCTGCTGTTGTATTGTATCGTATCGTATTGTATTGTATCATCAAAAAAGCATAACAAAGAATGTTCTTACTGTGCCAACTCTGAAAGCTCAAGACTTCCCAAGAACTGCTGATACAGTTCTACAAATGAATTATTGAGTCTGTCATTTGCACTGTATGGTTTGGCACAGCAACCAAACAAGACAGACACGGACTTTAACAGATAATTAGTACTGCAGAAAAAAATAATTGCAACCAGCCTGCCTCCCACTGAGGATCTGTATACTGCATGAGCCAGAAAGAGGGCTGTGAAAATATCTACAGATCCCTTACATCCTGGACATAAACTGTTTCAGCTTCTTCCCTCAAGACGATGGAGATTGCAGGTCAAAACAACCAGACACAAAGACAGTTTCCCCCCAATTCCATCACTCTGCTAAACAGCTCATTCCCACAACACTGTTTGATGCCCTAGGATGTCAAACCAGCTATTATCCTTCTCATCTTTTCTATTACTTATTTCCTTAGCTCTTTAGGAGATTATAATTATCTTGTTTGAATTTTATGATTTATGTTGTTTGTCTTTATTTGGTATCCCATTGTGATTTATGTTTTTTGCTTATTTAGAATCCGATGACTATCATGAAGTGTTATAGCTTATGATTTACGATGATTGTATCTTCTGATGATCATCATGATTTATCACTTGTTGCTTTTATGTATGCTGAGAGCTTATGGGCCAGAGACAAATTCTTTGTATGTCCAATCACACTTGACCAATAAAAAATTCTATTTAGAACAGATTCTTTGAGTAGGAGCACCAGCAAGTTCTCCAGCACCTAGAGAGGAAACAGAAAAGGAGGAGCAGTCCCAGGCTGGCTCAGAAGCTGGAAAAGAACCAACTTTTTAAAGAAGCAACTGGACTTTCTGGTTTTTCTTTGAAGATGTTTTGCTTCTCATCCAAGACGCTTCTTCAGCTGACAAAAGAAACATCTCCAAAGAAAAACCAGAAAGTCCAATTGCCTCTTGAATAAGCATCTTTGGGACAACCATGACCTGGATGATCCCCAAGGAGCCGAGTAGGGAAAGGGTTCATAAATCTCACAGGTTTGTCTGGACTGTGCCCATGGTTCACAATTGCGCAGGAATTGCTGGCAAAGAATCCCGTGGAGCAGAGTCAAACCAAGTTCCACTTCGGCAGTTTGCTCTCCTGCATCTCCTTGCCCCACATGCCAACCACCATTGCCTGTTGATGTTGATATAGAATAGAATAGAATAGAATAGAATAGAATAGAATAGAATAGAATTCTTTATTGGCCAAGTG